GAATTATGACTATATTTATTTTCCTTCTGTAAAAATGTATTTTATCAAACTGAATAAATAAAAGTGTGACTAATATTTTTTTTTCAATGGTTTTTACAGCAATGCTGATATTGAGATGATGAAATTTTAGTGTCATGAATAACTGGTGTTGATCATGTTAGATGGACAAAATGTCTCTTGAATTCTTCTTTTCAGAAACTCAATTTGCAAGAGGACTGATATATGCCCTGCCTGTGTCCCCAGTCCATTTCCTTTTACCCTTCTCTCTGCTCCAAAAAAACCCCACGCTTATTTCACTAGATATTAAATTTAATCATACATTATTTTTAACAATCAATGTTTTTAACTTAAGTGTTTGTTCATATGCACATACATCATAATGCCCAGTGTTAGATCTTTTTGCTGGTTTACACTAGTTTTAGTAGAAATCATATACGAAGTGGGGTGGGTTTTCTGTGCAATAATAACAAGTATGTTGAGCAGGTGTCATATATAGCACGCTTCATTCGTTAACAAGTTAAACACCTCGGCCTGCGGCCTCTGGTTAAACCTGTTAACTCATGAAAGTCGTACTATAAATATAACATATTTGAGACCTGTAATAATAGTATTTTTCCATTAAAAATACTTATCGGAGCATAATGGATGAGCCTTTTAACCTCGACAAAGGCATATATCTTTAAGCACAATTTTGTCATGATTTATTCAGTAATTTCTTCAATGTTCGTTCGTAAATAGAAACTTTAATGTTTTTTGTAAGATAATTCTCTTCAAAAAGTTCAAATAATACTGAGATTAAAACTGTTCAAATGTAGAGCATATCAACAGTTTTAACTTATCAACGATTTACTGGCTTTATAAATTAACTATAAAAAGACACTTTATTCTGACTCGGAACATAAATCTTAAGCCTGCAGTGTGTTTACAAGTGTTGTTGTTCTAAAGTGGAACAGAGAGAACTACTTTTTATCTCAAATCTGCAAAAAATAACTTCTGTATTAATCTGTTTTAATGGTATTTACAATCTGATTAAAATACAGATCTATATTTCGTTTTGTTTTTTTTATACTTTCGATGGCCTACACTACATGAAGATCTAACAAGTTATAGCCATAGGTCATGTCAGGGGTCAAAAGACCGACTTATGACCCTTTTGACGTCAGACATTTGATTAACCAATCAGCATCGATGTTACTAGTGGATTACCCACAGTTCCGTGAAAAACACGCCTAAAGCTCGCCGTAACAGACCGTTTCATTGGCTTATCCCTGACACCATTCAGAACACGAGTTACATAACAACTCTTCCAGATCCAAGTGTAGTAAAGACAAGTAAAATAGTAACTATAACTGTAGTAACTATAAAAACGAAACGAAATAGGATCTGTGACAGTAAGAACCCTAGTCAGCAATAAACAGTATTCTGTCCTGTGTAATTCTATGTTGAGATCCAATTTATCTCAAACTGAGCTTGACCGTTCAAAAAAATAAATCTTATTTCTTTTGATTGTATAATTGTCGTGATCTGTTTTAATGACCTCAAGTTTCAGACATATAACATCTAGAGATCCAACAATCAACATGATAGGCAAATGAGCATCACCATAAGTATTTGAAGTTGAACAAATTTTAGATGTTTGAAATCGATTTTCTGAACTAAATAAAATATTCTGAGATGTTCGGATTTAGGGAAATTTTCTGAACACACTGAGATTTTCTGAATTTTACTGAACTTTTATTTTTATTTGGTTCTGAACTTAAACTTACTGGGAACTTACAAGTTTTTGGTAAGCAAGTTAACTAATCTCTAGATTTAATTCTACAAGACCTACAAGGCCGTAAAACTACTGTAAAAATATTATAATGCATTTCTCTCCCATCATATATGCTGTACAGGATTCACGTAATTCCTATGCTGTTTTTATTTAATATGACAGTTCGAAGAGCAGTACTTCATATCTAACTACCCTTTATTTGAAGATCATAATAATCATAGCGACTTTGTTCTAGAAAATCCTTATGACACTAGGTGATCAAATAGTGAATGACAAACAATGGACCACTTCACGCCTTTGATGAGATTCCCACATATCAATTAACTTTTATTATTCTACTACCAGACACTCATCATTAATTATCAACACAACACTTAGTATAATCTGTATACAACTCTATAACACCAATCATGAGATTATGTGGCTTCTATACATGTGCATTATTCTGTACTGGCCATACAATTTCATAGTTACATAGTGGAGGTCGATCATGGCCATGTTTAAAAATTGGATTTTGAAAAAAAGGCTATTTTCTTGGCATGCAAAATGATCTAGCTATGGTCATTTTCCATAGTCCTAGGTCTTGACCGGCATATACATGGTAGATGTTCTGAACTAATGAAGACATATAATGTATGTTCTGAATTATTATTGATGTTCTGAACTAATGCAGATATAAATTTTCTGAACTAATGCTGATATTATAGATATTTAAACTAATGTATATTTTATATATAGATATTCTAAACTTTATATGTAATATAATTTGGCACAACACTGGATTTTAAAAAAAGCATGAACAGAAATATTCTGAAACTTATCAACTATTTTCAAGTTTATTTAAACTTTTTGAGTTGCTGCGGAGATTTATCGAAATATTCAAAATTTACGTGGAAATGCAATGATTTATTGAGTGAATTTATGACAGCGTTTTAATTTTTTGAGCGACTTGTTGAACCACTCAGTGCAGATTATTTTAAATGTTCACTAAAAAAATCAAATATGTACTTAAGGGTGGGGTTAGATAATTCCAAATAAACTTTAAACATGAGGCCAACAAATGAAAAGGTCATTCATGTTTAAAAGGTTATACATAAATTGACTGGGCCAACTATATAATGGTGTCGGTTTATCAAAAATGGTGTATTCCTTTTATACTATATCAACCAAAAAATGTGCAATTACATTGAAAGGTTTCAGATTTAAACATTTAGGTTTTCAACAAAAACCGGTACACAGATACCTATGTCTGATATGAAGTTAAAAACTGAACGACATAATACCACTGGTTGTTCTATTACATTCATCAAGTCTTCAATACAAATAATCTCCAAGGCGCCACAGCTACTCAGTGAGTAAGGCGTTGGTTCACTAACCAGGAGGTCTACGGTTCGATCCGGTGTGGGCCGAGAAACTTCCTTGGGATTTTCCAGAGTGGTTACAACTTGTTAGTGAAGTAGGACTGAGGGCCTAACAAGGAACAGTGATCTAGTCCCAGGCACATAAAAGAACTTTTGACATTTGGAATTCAATTGCTCATTAGGCAAAATTTCCCTCAAAGCACTGCATATATGGAGCAGAAAAGTAGGATGTTAAAACCAATTTCATTTAATTCATTCACTAATCTCTGCAGATTGTTAAATTATCAAAAAAAACATCAATTTTCTTTTAACTTCGATCAATTTTGTCAATATCTAGAACAAACAATAATCATTCATCTATGGATCAAATATTGATAATATATTGTTAATGACAATCGTAGAAAAGGTTTATTTTTCTTTAAAACTAAGCTGATCAATCTTTCAAAAAAAAAAAAATTATGTCAAAACAGATCTTACACTTTTACAGCTTAAAAGATATAAATTGACTATTTGTAGGTCTCAGTTTGATCTGAAAAATTAACTCAGAAAAAGAACAAAAGTGGTCTTAGATTAATATTTCAGCTTTATATATAAATTTAGGGTGTAATACCTAATCTGTTTTTTTAAAAGTAAACTACTGTCATTATTACACTATAATGAACATTACATCTGGTTTTAAACAGACTGACAGCTTAATATAATCTGCATGGTGATTAAGAGAACATGTTTTAGTACAAATAAAGTTAACCTGATTTAAGGGTATCGATAATTGAATTGCTATTTTCCTTAAGATAGCTCATCATCCTATAATACTAAAATCCTTTAACAGGATATAATGTGTTTCCTGGATTATATCAAATCCGTTAGATATTTTTTCATCAAAGACTAGGTCGTCTTTAACCAGACATAGATCATCAGGAATACATTGACATTGTTACTGGAGACATATAAACCTTTGATCTTTAGCGGTTATAAAATAAGCATATAAAATCCTATGAGGTCTTATTCTTACGGATTATTATATGACATTATACAAGTCTGCAGTAAAGTTTTTTCGCAGCCACTACCATCACTGAGAGGGATGAACTAGGGTTAAGAGGGTTAGTTAATGAGGCCTCTATACTAACTTATTTTTTACTCCCAATAAAATTATGAAACTATTAAAAAAGCAAAACATTTCATAGTTACTGAAATGACAAAATGACAATTCAGATCAGATATCATTTTATTATGATTGTAACAGCTTGACACTGTTTTGACTTGTGTCATAACTTATGGTAACCTACATTGATTACTACTTCAAGTGGGTATACATAGTTGATTTTTACGATTCTTTTTCTACATTTCAGATTTCTAGAAATTGTGAATATTTTGGTATATTACTATTAATTCATTTTATTGAATTATTATATCAAATATTTCCTGAATTGATTTAATTCCATTTGTTTTAACATGAAAAATGATTTAATTCCATTTGTTTTAACATGACAAATGATTTAAATGTGAATATTCCTATATTTGTGTGAGCAGTATGACTAGTGCACATATTGAAATAATTAACAAATGGTTGATCCATTAGACAATTCGACTTTTAGAGCTTTTAAAGGATTACCAAGTCCGAGACAATCTGTGTAATGGATACCTCTTTAACAAGACAAGGTCAGTGTATATATTACTACCCCAGCCTCCCACAGTTGATATGGACATTCTTATATTTCTCATGACCTTAAACACTGAGTATAGATTTCAAGTCAATCGAATATAAACTTTAGCCTCTAGAGCGTCCACAAGCGATGACAATATACGACCACATTTCAATGTGAGCCTATAAAAAGGTACCGGTATATTAAAGAAATATAACATACCCAAACCTGGTACTTCCTCATCTATATATTCTACTTTCTTATCAGGATACTTGGCATCATCTGATGTATTACTAAGAAGTCTGGCAGCTTCTCTTGAATTGTTGTTTGGAAAATCATTTTTCGTGTGGTTACCAGAGCTATTCATAACTCTGAAAAAAACAAAAACAATAAAGACATGAACATAAGATGTAGTGACGGGTATGAGTGTATGAGGGAATTTATGTAGGCTAATAGTAGTTTCGAAGAATTCGTGTTCGTCTGGATCGATGTCTTTGGCTCGTAATTGGACTCTCACTTGAAGGAATTCCCCATCACACATTTTTATACTAATTACGACTAAAACATTCAAACACGATCAAAAACACACTTTTATGGATAACAATTACTATGGTTTATTTCACTGCGACGTTTCAACAAGGTTGAAACTGTCGCAGTGAAATAAACCATAGTAATTGTTATCCATAAAATTGTGTTTTTGATTATGTTCCAATTACTAAATGCCATTCAAAGAATATATTCAAACACGATAATCTTCTCTTAACTAGAAATATGACCATTTCTTTAATTTCTTTTTCTAGCTTTCAAAATAGCAAACAGGGATTGCAATTATGCTAATATCTGTTGAGTTGGTATTTCCATGAATTAAATTTTATTTGTCGTTTTCAAATAGCATGCAGTACAAACACTATGTCATACATTAGACACTGCTATCTGATGCGGACATATCCTGTTTCTGATCTCTCCACAGTATTCACACAACTTCATTTTACTGATTGACAGAATGAAATATAATCTTATATACTCAGCCAAATAAAAAATTTGACACTCGGGATTTTTGGGCCTAGATTTTTAATATTTGGTTTAAGGCAACTATTTTAGTGTTATGTTGTGCACAGACGACCTTGACATCAACAGAAAGCAAGAATACGTCTCGCCGAAAGTCCTTGACATTGATAACGTTCGTGATGTCACAGTACCCCCCAAAATGAAATTCACAGACTTGTACAACAATCGGAATAAAGTGTTTAGTAACGGTTGTGGCCACTTCTAGGGTCTCGTACTGCCACACAACATCTTCTCATGGATCTCAGAACATTAGTAAACACTACCCGAGGAAGACGTCGCCACTGCTCAGCAAGAGCATGTTGAAGGTCCTGCAACTTCAGTGGTGGATTCACTTGCTGACGAACACATTAACCCAGTTCGTCCCAGATGTGTTCAATAGGATTAAGGTCGGGGCTAAGCGACAGCCAATCCAGGACTTGGACACCGGCATTTCTTAAAAAATTCTGGGTAGCAATTGCTGTATGGGGTCGAGCATTGTAGTTGAAACGTTAGTCCAGGCCCATGTCTCTGCATAAACGGAAGAAGAACAGGTTGCAAAATCTGATCCCTGTACTGGACAGCATTTAAGTTCCCTTGGACAAGAACATGTGCACAAAAAAAACCACTGTCTTTGAGTAAATCTTATGTGTCTTGTGGCCCACACAAGTCGGTTACGGCGATGAAGAGGTGTCAATATTGGTCCATTATAGGGCCTCCGAGCTCGAAGACCAGCAGCCTGCAAGCGATTTCGAACAGTTTGTGCAGCTACCCTTCCACCAAACATCTCTCTACTTGTGGAGGTTGCAGTGACAAATCTGTTTCTAAGATGACATAATCGTATTGCTTGATCTTCCTGGAGTGATGTCACACGTGGCGCTCCCGCCCTTGGGTGGTCGGCAATAGTTCCAGTTTGAAGCACTCTCATTCTAAGATTAATTATTGTCTGGCGTGAACAATTAAAGGCTCTTGTAACAGTGACCACAGACTGACCAGCATTGAGCCTACCTATAGCACGTAGACGTTCTACATTTGAAAGGCGCGGCATTTTCTAACAAAGATGAAAATAACAATTTTAATTTGTTTTTCCAGTTCAAGTTACGTGTGTTTGCACATGTTTTTCAGGTTTTTCATCTTTATATGCTCAAAAGTCACGTGATCCATGTGACTTTACAATTTTATGAAATTAAAGGCTTCTTACTACTTACTATTGTTAGAAACACTTTAATATTTATTTGACTTACCAGAAAAAAAAATTTGTTGAAATTCATCAGTGTCAAGTTTTTAATTTGTCTGAGTATATATATTGCCATATCAATCAATATCATAGTTTTATCATTTGATTTTTCCTGATTATTATAAATAAATATCCTATTATTAGAGAACAATAAGGAAACAACTGCTGGTTGATATGTCTCTCAGTCAGACATCATAAATGTCAAAATAGCACAAACTACAACTCTCTCTCTCTCTCTCAAAAAAACAATATTGACCAGATTTAGGATGAGGTGTGTCATAGTTTAAAGTTATATACTTCTAGGTTCTCTTCAACTAGAAACAGTGCATAAAATAAGTTACCAATGTGCTGTGATTAACCAGAAATATGCAGTCATCATCTCCATTTTGTGTTGAAATGAAATGACATTATCAAAAACCATGTGTTACATAAAATGCATACCTTTCTACTATTTGTTTTTTAATATTTTTTCATATGATAATCTTGTACAATTGAAAGATGCGCATATCCAAGACTTAAGTAATCATTAATAGTAATCAAAACTTTCTGTGGTATTGAAACTACGCTTTTAATCCATGACAGTATGCATAATTGGTTAGAATAATCATTGAAATGAAACGGGATTTACCGTTTAACTTCCTACTTTTCTATACTAACCAAGCTAGTGAAGACAGGCATATGTCATGCAGTGTGTTATGAGATCAATGGCGCTATGGCCTATACTCTTGTTTAGAAATCTATCTTTTATATGCATGCACAGGACCTTGTTTTTTTGTCTCCTATGTATGATCTGCCAGATCTTCTGTCCTGCACCACTGACAAGAGAAACCCACATGGAAAATCCTGAGGCACGATCAAGTCCAACACCTTACTCATTGAGTCACCAGACCCAGAACATAAGATGCACGTTTTTTTTTCTTGTTTTATATCCTGACTTGGAGACAGATGTCAGACTACTGTTGGATAATATAAAGAAAAACATTTCAATATGGATTACCCAACATTTAACTGGTCAGACAGAAAATTTCTGTCATCCCATGTTCTTCGAATGTGATCCATAATTAAAAAAATTTAACCATTATTTTGATTCATTTAAATTTCTATCAATTATAATTTAAACAATGCCAAAATTTCAATCAAATAATGATTGATTGTTGAGGCATGTTTCTAGCTTCAATATACTTACATGCTTACTGAACAGTTGTTAATATCCATGTTAGAACTTAATCTACCATATATCCTATCTATGCTTTGTTTATGACAGTCAATTATGATCCTCTGCGAATCGAAAGATTCAGCATCTCTAACCTATTGAGTAGCTGCCTTATAATTCTTATTGGACATTGATTTTACACAATCTTTAATGAGTTTCACAGTTTTAACTATATAAATCCAACCAATACAAGGAAATCCATCAATTTTCTTTCATCAGTTAGATGCTATCATGGGATGTTAACAGAATGATTTGTAGAAAACCCAACATAAAGCCTCACTGGAAACTCATAATAACTAACACCACTGCCTTGATTCTCGTCATATCAGCACGATACTAAATAAGACAATTTTCTGAATGTGTCGTATGATGCTGAACAGATCAATATTAAATAAATCGCTGAAGTCTCGCCAACTTTTCAGCGCTGCATTTGCCTGAAACTATTTTAATATTGATTAATATTTGTATTAGTTACCATAAGCATATTGTATTCTCTCTTCCTTAAAAACACCTGTCATCTTACTAAATTAGCTTATACGGCACACAAATACAAAAAAAAACGTAATTAAATTAACAATCCCAAAATAAATAGAAAACACTCATTAATTACCGACACATTTATTTTTTTGTAAAGTATTGTGCAATCATTTTGTTAATCAGTCTGCATAATCTAAGCAGAAAATCAAGGTACATTGTAGGTGTTTAAGACTATAAAAAGATTGATCACTGGATTACTTAAATAATACTACCTATATTATCAACAATAATCAATATTAGTAATAGTTATACCGAATGAAATGGGGTTTAACGTCCTACTGTTTTGCTCCGAACTGGGCTAATGAAGACGGGCATACGCCATACAGTGTGCTATGAGGGAAATTTTGCCCGGACAGCGGCACTACGGCCTACTCTTATATCGAATTCCAACTGTCAAGGGATCTTTTACGTGCACGCCAATGTGTACACGGGACCTCGGTTTTTCGTCTCATCCGAATGACTAGACAGCTGTCCTTGTCAGGCCCTCCGTCCTGCATCACTGACAAGGGGAAACCACGCCGGAAAATAATAGTTATACCCTGAGTACAGCCATATCTTTAATATGGTTCACCATACCTTGATGTCCGATTGGGCATATTCTCGGTCAAACGTTTACACATCCACATGACAGAACTTTTACGGTAGATACATCCATACCAGCATCCGTGCTCCAATCAATGGTTGTGTAAGCAGGACGTTGATTGTCAAAGGAATGTATCTTTAACTAAAGCTTTGTCACAAATATGATACATCAAATAACAGTTATATTGCTCTTCTGAGTGAAAGGGTTGTACCATGAATCTGCCATGTACACAAGTCAATAGTTCCAAATCTGGAACTAAAAGCTTTCATGAGGAGCAACCAAACTTGTTTTGGAATTTGTATTTTTTCCTGAAGAAATAGGAATCAAAATTTGTAATAGTTATTGCTGTAACCGAAAAATTCAAATTAGATTGGCTTATAGCTAATTAAAGAAATAAAATTGTTTCTCCCGAAATAACCTAAACAATTCAAGCTAATGTTACCTCAATTTCTCTCTTGACCTTTTCTTAATCAAAAATCGTAATTCCATGGTCATTTCTCTTAATAAAAATTCTCAGCTAATTGAATCTATGTAATGAATTAATAAATCAATATATAATTAATGGTAAGATGAGAAATATACGGCTACTGATTGATTTGACCATGTCACACGATATCTACATATTTGATTAATATCTTATCTTATTGTTCCTAATCATTATACTTAATATTGTAAGATGAATACTTAATTTGTCTACTGACAACTAATATCAAAAAGTTCTACACTCGTAAGTAAAAATAGTAAATTTAATAGGCCT